TACAGTGAGGGAAACAAGTATTTGATCCCCTGCTGATTTTGTACGTTTGCCCACTGACGAAGAAATGATCAGTCTATAATTTTAATGGTAAGTTTATGTGAACAGTGAGAGACAGAATAACGACAACAAAATTCAGAAAAACGCATGTCAAAAATTGTATAAATTGATTTACATTTTAACGAGGGAAATAAGTATTTGACTCCCTCTCAATCAGAAAGATTTCTGGCTCCCAGGTGTCTTTTATACAGGTAACGAGCTGAGATTAGGAGCACTCTTAAAGGGAGTGCACCTAATCTCAGCTTGTTACTTGTATAAAAGACACCTGTTCACAGAAGCAATCAATCAATCAGATTCCAAACTCTGCCCCATGGCCAAGACCAAAGAGCTCTCCAAGGATGTCAGGGACAAGATTGTAGACCTGCACAAGGCTGGAATGGGCTACAAGACCATCGCCAAGCAGCTTGGTGAGAAGGTGATAACATATTCTTGGTTCTTTCGGTAAAGTCATGTAGAAGAACCAAGAATATGAATCCCTGCAGTCACGAATGCTTTATATCAAAGGTGATAACAGTTGGTGCGATTATTCGCAAATGGAAGAAACACAAAAGAACTGTCAATCTCCCTCGGCCTGGAGCTCCATGCAAGATCTTACCTCGTGGAGTTGCAATGATCATGAGAAGGGTGAGGAATCAGCCCAAAACTACACGTGAAGATCTTGTCAATGATCTCAAGGCAGCTGGGACCATAGACACCAAGAAAACAGTTGGTAACACACTACGCCGTGAATGACTGAAATCCTGCAGCGCCCGCAAGGTCCCCCTGCTCAAGAAAGCACATATACATGCCCGTCTAAAGTTTGCCAATGAACATCTGAATGATTCAGAGGACAACTGGGTGAAAGTGTTGTGGTCAGATGAGACCAAAATGGAGCTCTTTGGCATCAACTCAACTCGCCATGTTTGGAGGAGGAGGAATGCTGCCTATGACCCCAAGAACACCATCCTCACCGTCAAACATGGAGGTGGAAACATTATGCTTTGGGGGTGTTTTTCTGCTAAGGGGACAGGACAACTTCACCGCATCAAAGGGACGATGGGCGGGGTCATGTACCGTCAAAGCTTGGGTGAGAACCTCCTTCCCTCAGCCAGGGCATTGAAAATGGGTCGTGGATGGGTATTCCAGCATGACAATGACCCAAAAAACACGGCCAAGGCAACAAAGGAGTGGCTCAAGAAGAAGCACGTTAACGTCCTGGAGTGGCCTAGCCAGTCTCCAGACCTTAATCCCATAGAAAATATGTGGAGGGAGCTGAAGGTTCGAGTTGCCAAACATCAGCCTCGAAACCTTAATGATTTGGAGAAGATCTGCAAAGAGGAGTGGGACAAAATCCCTCCTGAGATGTGTGCAAACCTGGTGGCCAACTACAAGAAACGTCTGACCTCTGTGATTGCCAACACGGGTTTTGCCACCAAGTAATAAGTCATGTTTTTGCAGAGGGGTCAAATACTTATTTTCCTTATTAAAATGCTAATCAATTTATAACATTTTTGACATGCGTTTTTCTGGATTTTGTTGTTGTTATTCTGTCTCTCACTGTTCAAATAGACCTACCATTAAATTATAGACTGATCATTTATTTTTCAGTGGGCAAACGTACAAAATCAGCAGGGGATCAAATACTTTTTTCCCTCACTGTATATATTGTATTTAAAACCTACGTGACTTTAACGAAAGAACCAAGAGTATGACCCTTAATTCATTGCACGTGATGGAGGGCCATTGCCCGAAACGTCGCCGGTCATATTTGCTGTCGTTAAATGCCACGGTGTGGTTGACAAATTCGTTGAGATTTTTTTAATATTTATATTGCATTATATTTACGAGATTTATCGTGACTCCCCAACTAACGACTCAGAGGAACCACGAGGAGGAACCACGAACGAGCAGGGAAGGCAGCATCAGCCACGCAGTGACGAGCCGGCGCTACCAACAATCGCCCAAGCTCTGCGATCCCCTCTGTATGCTATGATGTTGTTATCAGTCAATCGATGAGTGTTTACACGTGGGAGGAAACTGACTCACGCAGAGAAGACTCACGCGTGCGAGGGGGCAATACTATATCCCATACTGTTGTAACAGATGGAGTCCACACATTGGTCTTCTCCGCGGTGTTGATGACAGGCCACGTGCAATGCCACCACTGCCCAGCAAATAAGCAGACGATATGCCTCGTTCCTGTAGATGTCCTTGCACGTAAAAAAATGCAATGTTTTATATATCTTATCAGCCATAAATTCAGCAGTGTCGGTTCAACACAGGTAAAACTCTGGACTGATTTTGACATGCAGTGTCTCATCAGCAGCGTCAGGCTCGCTTGAACCAATTCTGGTGAACTGTTATATGGTTAAAGGCAATGACAGCAGTGTGTGTGTGTGTGTGTTCGGTGTGTGATGTGCGTGTGTGTGTGTGTTCGGTGTGTGCGTGCTGTGTGATGTGTGTGTGTGATGTGTGTGTGTGGTGTGTGTGTGATGTGTGTGTGTGGTGTGTTGTGTGTGTTCTGTGTGTGTGTTCGGTGTGTGATGTGCGTGTGTGTGTGGCGTGTGTGTGTGGTGTGTGTGGTGTGTGTGTGTGTTGTGTGTGTGATGTGTGTTGTGTGTGTGATGTGTGTGTGTGTGGAATGAGTGTGTTGGGTGTTTTGTAAGGCAGAATGTGTATGTGAGTGTTGTGTGTGTGTTCGTGAGCATGAGTGTATTAAGTGTTGCTGTTGTTATGTGTTGGTTAATGGGAGTGTGTGCTTTTAGTATCCATGCTTGTTGTGTACGGGGGAATACGTGTGTGAATGTGTGTGTTTCCTTTGTTCTTGAGTGTGTGTTCCCTTTGTTGGTGAGTGTGTGTGTGTGTATGGGGGGGATGTGCGTGCTACCATCGTACCGCGTGGTTCTAATCTGCGTCTTCTCTCTGCATTCTGTGTGTGTACTGTGTGTAGCGTGTGTACTGTGTGTATTGTGTGTGTGTAGTCTGTGTGTAGTGTGTGTGTACTGTGTGTAGTGTGTGTGTAGTGTGTGTGTGTGTACTATGTGTATTGTGTGTGTGTGCGTACTGTGTGTGTAGTGTGTGTGTACTATGTGTATTGTGTGTGTGTGTGGTGTGTGTGTGAGGACTCTGTGTGTGTGGACTGTGTCTGTGTAGTGTCTGTGTAGTGTGTGGACTGTGTGTGTGTAGTGTGTGTGTACTATGTGTAGTGTGTGTGTACTGTGTCTGTGTAGTGTGTGTATTGTGTGTGTGGACTGTGTGTGTGTAGTGTGTGTGTACTATGTGTAGTGTGTGTGTGTACTACGTGTATTGTGTGTGTGGACTGTGTGTGTGGATTTTGTGTGTACTAAGTGTATTGTGTGTGTGGACTGTGTGTGTGTAGTGTGTGTGTACTATGTGTAGTGTGTGTGTGTACTACGTGTATTGTGTGTGTGGACTGTGTGTGTGGATTTTGTGTGTACTATGTGTAGTGTGTGTGATGTGTGTGTGTGTTCTGGATGTGTGATGTGTGTGTGTTCTGCGTGATGTATGTGTTATGTGTGTGATGTGCGTGTGTGTGATATGTGTGTGTTGTGTGTGTTCTGTTTGTGTGTGTTCTGTGTGTTCTGTGTATGAATTTGTGGCTCCAACCGTTCACGCACTCCACCTACCAATTGAGGCCACATCAGTTCAATTCCTGCCCATGATGGACACCATTGGCACACGCGGTAGCAGCAACACTCCTGGGTCTCCGCGAGATTGACGCACACTCTGCCTGGATCACGTGCCGAGCGTGTTGTGTGTAAACATCAGCACGGATTGCCGGGAAGACAAATACGACCGGGCGCAGCAGCAGCCATGCCACCGACTCGCCTGCGTACTCTAACCACCTTCACAGGTGGTGGTGTCTGTTGAGGCTATCCTTGTCCTGTGTGCGGGCCTCCCCTAGGTCGACTCAGCCTCAAATCAGTACCTGGTGCGATGTGCAAAAATCGCCACTGGGGAGACAAAGGCGGCCGGGTGTGGTACTGGCCACCCACTCTCTACCGCGCCAAGGCTTCATAGATGCTCGCATACAGCACTTGCACCAACGAGTCTGTTAAAGGCTATATGGGGGATCTTTGTCTTTTGTACGCACGTGTGTATGTGCGTGTGTGCGTGTCTATGAACATACGGCATCGCCTGTGTGTATGAACGCAGGATCTGGTGATGCTGCTGTTGCGTTGGCAGTGGTGCGCAAGCACAATAAACACTTTCGTGAATAACACCGTGTGTGGTTTAAAAAAAAAAAACTGGCAACGTTTTGGACAATGATCCTCCTTCATGGCACATACATCATCGTGTGTACGAGCGCCGGTTGCACGCGTGTTTGCGCGCGCGCGCACCTGTACGCATGCACGAGCACAGACACTCACACACACTGACACACACACAGACACACACACACACAGACACACACACAGACACACACAGGCACACACACAGACACACAAACACAGACATACACAAACACACACGCACACAGACGTGTGTTCACGCGTGCGTGTGTAGTGGAGTGGCAGTGGAAGAGCTGAATGTGGCAGGGAGCGAGTAGGGGAGGGATGCAACAGGCATACAACAATCAAACATCACCGGGCAATACGAATCCTAACCATCTCTGTCCCTCCGCACAAATATATCTTATAAACAAAAGTCTTCTCGACACATCCCATCAGCCAGCAGACGCTCTTTCTCTGGGGGCGCATCATTTCAGCAACGTTATTCGTTCAACAGCACGAGTCAAAACTCTGGACCGGCTTTGACACCCAGTCTCTCATCGGCAGCGCAGAGTAAGCCACGATTGCTCGGACCCCCCAAACCGGTGCACTGACAAGACACATACACAGATCATTGCCGGGCCGTCCTCAACGGATACTTGCTGGATGAATGAACGAACGAAAGCAATGAATGAATGGGCGCTGAGGTTATTATTATTATTTTTGCTTTACCGGTGTGGTTGCTCTGCCGAGAGCGTTCAGGCAGGAGCGACAGGAAGTCGAGGCAGCGGTCCTTGACGACAAATTCTTTGATGCAGAGCTCGGAGATGATGCTAATGGCCTTGCTGCACCTCTCCTCCTCTTCAGCGTGCGGCAAACCCGGCATCGCCCCTGCCCAGCGATCGGACTCCTCGCCTCCCTCTCCTCCTCCACCCCTTCGCCTCCGCGGCTCCGCACGACTCGTCGACGGCGCGTGGGCGTGCGAGGCGGACAGGGATTGAGAATAGCGGCGCGTGGATGTCGGGGTAGGGACGGGAGGGAGACGCGCGAGAGAGGGAGGGGGAGGAGGGAGGGAGGGAGGGGGAGGTGGGGGCACGGCAGAGGCACGGACAGAGAGCGCGCGCGAGGCAGAGACAGCGGTAGGGATGGACGGATGTGATGGATGGGAGCGCGACCGAACAGGGAGATGGAACGCGTCGTGTTGCCCCTGGCTGCGGGATAGGGACGGCTAGACGCGGGAGGGAGACAAATGTGGCTGAGCGTCACCCGGAGCCAGAGGCGAGCCGCGTGCGAGCCGCGTGCGAGTGCGCGCTGCTGGTCAATGGGAAGGGCGAGAGGCTGCGCGTCCGTCGAGGAGCTCGCAGACGCACCACGGCTCAGAGATCGATTCATCATCGAGTTATCGTGTCTCTGTGTGTGTGTCAGTGTGTGCGTCAGTGTGTGTGTGTGTGTGAGTGTTACTGTGTGTGTGTGTCAGTGTGTGTGTCACTGTGTGTGTGTCAGTGTGTGTGTCAGTGTGTGTGAGTGTCACTGTGTGTGTGTGTGTCAGTGTGTGAGTGTGTCAGTGTGCGTGAGTGTCAGTGTGAGTGTCAGTGTGTGTGTGTGTGTGTCAGTGTGTGTGAGTGTCACTGTGTGTGTGTCAGTGTGTGTGAGTGTCACTGTGTGTGAGTGTCACTGTGTGTGTGTCAGTGTGTGTGAGTGTCACTGTGTGTGTGTCAGTCGTGTGTGTGTCAGTGTGTGTGTGTCAATGTGTGTGAGTGTCACTGTGTGTGTGTCAGTGAGTGTGTCAGTGAGTGTGTCTTTGTGCGTGAGCCAAGCCCGGAGTTCGTTGTTCCCCGCTGTGTTACACACACGCGCACACGTGTTGCTATGTTACACACACACACATGTGTTGCTGTGTTACATACACACACGTGTAGCCGTGTTACACACACACACGTGTTGCCGTGTTACACACACACACGTGTTGCCGTGTTACACACGCGTTTCGTATTTATGTGTTACACACGTGTTGCGTATTTCTGTTACAAACGTGTGTGTGTGTGTTATACACACACGCGCGTGTTGCAGCGAGTGCGCGCGCGTGCGCACTCACGCACAATTGAAGATAAATATCTCCGGGGCGTTTAGCCTGATAAGCCTGAGTGCAGGTTACCTTAACGAGCAACCTATTACGGCCGATGGGTCACACGGGACTGGCGCGTGTGGCGTTGTTTGCATGGCAAGCAGTCAAGATCGAGTCAACCCGAGGGGAGGCCCAGATCAGGTTCGGACCCCACTCGCTACTGATATGATCCGTGACCGGGCAATGATCGTTGCCCAGCGCACGCACGCACGCACGTACACAAAGGAAATTATCCCCTGTGCAGCCTCTATAGACTGTGTGGGGGGGAGGGGGGTGGTATGTATCGTTAGCGTGCATCGAATCGGGCGCGCACGGCGAACAAGGGCTGGTCAGTAACGACGCGCGGCCGTCTTTGCAATCCCAGTTAATGCTCAGTCGACCTAGGGGAAGGCCGAGACCGGCTAAGGTAACACCCGCTGCTGATGTTCGTCGTGGCCGGGAATCGAACTTGGATGAAGAATTTGCGGCGCAGTGCGCTAGCCATTACCCCACCGCTCCCCCCTACACACACGCACAGCAATGCACGCACACACACCGCGATTCACACACACACACACTGAAGCTCACTCATTCACACAAAGTTGAGGGCCGCTCTCTCTCGGCGCCGCGCTCGCGCATGAATGAATGAATGAACGCAGCTGATGAATGAGCGCGCAACCGAATGAACCACGACACAGTTGCGTAGCGATTCAGAGGCAGACGTTAGCGCGTTCTCGCACGCGTGAGCGACTGCAACCTCGTCTGTTGCGATGTCTCTGGAGACCTGGAGGCTAGCTCACACGTGATCGAACTCTGCAAATAACCCCCCTCCCCTTCCACCCCCTCCGTCGCTACGAAATTTCTAACGCAAGCATCCTTGCGATGCCAGCAACAACATCCAGCCAACCCAGAATCATCTCTTCGCTTCGCTCATCCGCATCCTCTCCCCTCTCCTCCTCCTCCTCTCTCGCCACCTCCTTACTCTGCCACCACCTCTTTCCTCTCCATCCCCCTCTTCCTACCCCCCTCCCCTTGCCCCTTCGTAGCCCAATCATCTCTCCGAGGTCCTCACTTCACCTCAACGAGTTCTGAAGGAAGTGTTCGTCCTCAAAATATCTCCCTCTCGCCACGCGCGACACCCACGCACCGCATGCGTCAACAAAGCGTCGCGCCCCCCTCTCGGGCGAGAGCAGATGAAGAGGAGGAGAAGGAGGAGGAGGAGGGTCTACATTGGTGATTATATTCATATCGTGTTTGTCTAGCAGCCCACACGTTCTCTGGGCGTGTTCCTCAGTCACTCCATTCATCCAGCAGCCAGCCAGCCAGAAAACAACTTAAAAGCGATAGAGTACGTCACATCTCCTCCGGCACACGTGGCAGATGCCATCAGGCGGCTGTGAGACGCCTCGCCAATTGCAGCGAGTCGCGAAGCGCACCGCGCTCGCTGTGCGCACGCACGAGAACGGACGGGAGGCATCGGTGATTGGAGTTAAAGGCGCAGCCCTGCAAGTGCTTGCTGCACGTCACTGCTGACGGAACGAGCCTCCTCTCCCACACTGACCAGGCGTGTTGGAAGAGGGGTGCGAGTACCTCCCCCCCCCCCACACCGTACACGAACGGCCGATCGCCACACCGTGGCGTGCCCATTTACGCTGCTGCTGCTGCTGCTGGATGGACAGAGTTTTAGTTCATTCGAATTGTCGCACGCATGATGGACCCGCGTATGCAGTTACCCGGCTCTTTTACAAGGGAGATCCGTGGTGCGTGAACACAGCAGCAGCAACAACAACAAAGACGTGGGTGGTTGGATAGGCGTGTGGGGGGGGGGGTAGATTTGAGAAACTCGCCCCCATAGTTTAAACCGCGGCACCGGTAGACAGCATCGAAGCGGCGACCTCGAGGGTGGCGACTCCGGTGTGCAGGTAACCATTGCACCACGTGGTCTGTGAACAGCGGAGAACTGAGAACAGATCACGAAAAGCGAATCTGAGCGGAACTCCATCCGTCCCGTGTCTCCACGTGAAAAGAATTTAAATCCATCAGCCTTGCGGCTTTCCACACCATTAATGTCCAGCAGCTGCATTTGTTTTAAGCGAGTAAAACATCTCAGGGGCGCAGTCGGGACAGGGGGTGCCTTGCCCCTCCCCTCCTCCCTCCCTCCTGGTGGACAAAGCTACGATTTGGAGCCCCTTGACAACCACCACGAGATTTGTCTTCAACAATATGCAAGGGCGCTCCCACCTGACCGATTGCCGCACCCCCTGAGCTGATAATGTCGCCACTACGCCACTGCCGCGGCGGTTTTGACCTTCTGGGTCTCATCAGCGGTGCACAAGCACAACGAATAACAACACCCCACAACACATCCAGCAACAGCGCCGCGTGTGGCCTTGAAAGGACAAGCATGTAATAGACGACGTTTTAGGAACTGGCCCTTCTTCGTGGCACATTGGCGCGTTAAACGTTTCCTTTAAAGACGAGATTTGTTATTTAATCGTGAAACGTCCGCTGTTGGCTTGACCCGTTGTTATTGGCAAGATAACTCTGCACAGACTACGGGACTCAGTTCAACGCATAGAATAACACCGAACAAACTCAATTAGGCGGATGAAGGAGCACACGTCATGATGCAAACGTGCCCACGTGTGCAGACATCTCCGACTTGTTGCCTCTTATATAACCTGATGCTGCTGCTGCGGCAGAGAGAGAGAGAGGTGGGGGATGAATGGTGGGGGAGGGGGGGGTAGAGCGCGAAGCAGCTTCGTCACCACTGCGATGTCAGGATGCGCAGGGGGAATTTGCTCACCGCCACATTGACAATAGCCAGAGGTGGTGACGGTGGAATGTGGTGGTGAGGGAGGGAGGAGGGATGTGTAGCGGTGTTGGTGGTTGAGGAGGAGGGGGGTAGGAATGAAGTGATGACGGGGGAGATGAGGATAATGATGATGATGATTGATGGAGGAAACGTGAGGAGCAGGTAGCGATAGCGGAGGAAGAGGATGAAGAGGCATAGGGTTGCTGTCGTGTTGCGGTGGTGATGGTGGATCTGTAAACATCGCCACAGGAGAGACAAAGGCGGCCGGTCGTGGTGCGCACAACCACACCCTCGTGTGCCGTGCTAGCATTCATAGGTGCCGCTCACTAAGAGCACTTGCCCCCAAAGCAGCCAGGTCAGGCTATTCTGGGGATCTTTGTCTTTTGCTGGTGGTGGCACGAGGGGGGGGGGGTGAGGAGGGGAGGGGGCACTGTTATGACAACGGGGGCCGCGATGTCGCGTCTCGTTCTGACATTTACGCGCGGCTCCTGCCTCTGTCTCTGGGTGGCTTTAGAGTGACCGACAATTGTGCAAACAGCTCGCGGCGTGCGCCTTGTGCCCGCGTGCTGCTCAGGTCGCCTCGGGGCGGTGTGTGAACGCCAAGCAGCACTCGGGATACAAAGGCGGCCGAGCGTGGGGGTGCCGGACAAATCACCCGGCCCCCCTCCCCCATCTCCCCGCCTCCGTCGTCGTGTGTCAAGGGTCCTATGATTAAGACAATTAATACAAACAATAAATTAATCAAAAGACCAGTTGTTAGAGATGGGGGTCAGTGTTAGAGATGGGGGTCAGTGTTAGAGATGGGAGTCAGTGTTAGAGATGGGAGTCAGTGTTAGAGATGGGAGTCAGTGTTAGAGATGGGAGTCAGTGTTAGAGATGGGGGTCAGTGTTAGAGATGGGGGTCGTGTTAGAGATGGGAGTCAGTGTTAGAGATGGGAGTCAGTGTTAGAGATGGGGTCTGTGTTAGAGATGGGGGTCGTGTTAGAGATGGGAGTCAGTGTTAGAGATGGGGGTCAGTGTTAGAGATGGGAGTCAGTGTTCGTGATGCAGCGGCGGT